CCCCCCCCCCCCCCACACACCTTTTTTTTACCCCCCGTGGGAATCTACCCCATTTCATTTCCCCCTACTTTTTTTTACCTGGTATACGCTACTACGGAGTACATCCTTCTTCACTTCTTTGTCCCAAATATAAGAGTAATTCCAAAATTGATCCTTTATAACAGGGGTTTCCAAATTTAGTTTTTTATTATCAAATATTACCCCCATAGCCCTTTTTTAAGGGCACCTTTCCACAAGTGTCCTTTTTTTGATCTTCTGCCGTGTTGGTGTTAATTTAAAGGCTAAAAGTATAATTTGATATCAACATTATGTCTAGTGACGTGTTCTGATATTGGTTAAGCGGATAACAAAAAAATAATGACTATCGTTGTCGTAAAAAGCGACTATAATTCACAAACGACGCAAACGGAACAGCCTTTGGAATTGTGTATGACAATAAAAGATATATTATCATTGTGAAATTACACTTTTAGCTCTCAAATTAACACCAACATGATACAAGATAAAAAAGAACTATTTGTGGAAAGGTACCCATAAAAAAAGGACCACTGAGGTAATATTTGATAATAGATGACTAAATAGGGAAACCTCCCTGTTATAAAGGACCAATTATAGAATTTACGCCAAATATAATCCATAATATATATGTCATACAACCGATTATATAATCCACAATATATATGTCATACAACCGGTTGAATGAATGTTCATTTACGAGTAATTAAATATTCATTTTCGAGCAAGTAAATACTCATTCTCAAGTAACTGAGTACTTATTTGTTTAAAATTTAGTTATGCTCGAAAATGAGCATTTGATTACTCGAAAATGAGTACTTAATTACTCGACAATGAGTATTCATGCGGATATACGAGAAATATCGTACATCCGTAATCCTCTTCCTGCCCAACAATAAACTTTTCATTTTAAACAATGTGTAAAATTTTATCTTTTTAAAAATTCTTTTATTCATAAACTCGTATATCATAAAAAAGTAAAATGACATTATTCATAACTACATCAAAGTTCTATAAAACAAAATATGACAAAAATACCTTATCTTATCAAATGATTGATAAAATTTTGCGAATAAACATAAGTTATCGAAAGCTCGTAATAGTAACTGAGAAATTTATTGTTGGACGAGAGTATAATTATTTTCCTACATCTCCCGCTAGAAGGGGGCTGAGTTTAGAAGTAATGAAGTGTAAAAGCCATCAATTTTGCAAACAAAATTAAGCAATATTTTTTTCACGCTCCTTGATTATTTCAAAAAAGAGTTTTTTTTAAATAAGCGAGACTAAAATAAATGCGAAGTACTACGTACGTATAACGTACCCGCAATTGAGCAAGTGCAAGAGGGTTGTCACTTAAGAATTTGACAACAAGAGTCATGGCCGTCGGCATTGTCTCCACCCCCGGAATCATCATCTCTATTAGGTTAGAGGGGATGAATTCCGGTGGCAGCAGCCGTCGGTCCGTCCCGTCCGACTCCTCCCCCGCTGCGTCCCGCAACAACAAATCGATCGCGTCCGCAGGCGGCGCCGAACCCTTCTCCTCCAAGCCAACCATCACTTTCCTTTCCTCCACCATCTTCTCCACTAGTTTCAACAACTTCCCCTTGGCCTGAGTTATTTAATTACTATTCTCATTGTCAATTGGACTTATATTAAAAAAATAATAAAAAAATAACGTGTTAACGCGATTTTGAGTTGAACTAAATCATCGTTTTTTTTTCTTTTTAAGGGTAAAAATAAAAGTTACCTTGAGGGATTTGTACAAGGTTGTGCCAGGGAGATTAATGGGAATACAAACCAAGCCCTTCATGAATTCTTCAAACTGTGCCCTCATGAAATCCAAATCTTCGCCGGGCTCCACACTCATCAGCACTTTCACCAATACTTCGAATGCAATCTTTCTTCCCCATCAAATATTACATTTTTTAAAAAAAACATCAATAAATTTTTGGATCTGGGATAAGAAATGTGTTGTGAGGAGAGTCGTGTATAATTTGAGATACAACTTGGTGTACCCTAACATTTTTAAAAGGTTAATGATAGTGTTATCCCATGAAATGTACTTTATTTTGTACGTTCAGTTTTTATTTTCGAAATAGAACGTAAAATACATTTACATTACCAAACATTGTCATGTATATCACCAAAAAGTATAGTAATGTGTACATGTATATATAGTGTCACATTACCACGTACAGTGTGAAATCTTATTTTGGAAAAAAAATACAAAAGTCATATTTTGGTACTTTTTGTCTATGTTTTAGTCCTATTTAGGGTAATTTCTATAAATTAAAAGAGTAGATAGAGACCTGTTTGGCATGGTCCTGGACGTAGACGAAGTTGCGGTGTTCCTCTGCCCAGGACGACAGCGAGCGGCGGACGGTGCGCTCCACGTCGGCGGCAAATCTGGCTTTGTTAGGCGGCGATTTAAGGTAGCCTCCGACGGCGGCGTGAAGTCTCTTGTGGAGCGAACCGGTCATTTGGAGGATCGAGTTGGCGCCAAACAAGTCGGTGACAGATTTGGGGTAAGACGGGACGAAGGCGTTGGCCGGGTTCAGGAGTATGGCTCGGTTCACCTCCGGGTCGGTCGATACGATGACCGGTTTCCCCAATAAGTGTGTCTTGAACACTTCCCCGTGCCTAATTAATAATCAATCATATACCAACATACATTAATACATAATTTCAATTCTAGTTTGGTATAATTTTTGATATTTTTTTTAAATATATATTATTCCAGTATAAATCTTATTTTTAAATCCAGACCAATTTTACAATTAATAGACATGAAAATAAATTTAGTTGAGCATTGTAAAACGAAACGAAAACGCATGAATTATTCTTTCAACATTGAATTGATTTTGCGTTGAAACTTCATGATTTTTACATTAATTTTCTCATCTTGTTAGTGTAAGGACTTTTGAGCTAAAAAAGAAATTATGTCTATTTTTTTTGTTTTTTTGAGCTAAAAAAATCCCTCTTGTACCAAAGGAATTGAATGATCCTACTCTCATAAGTTAAGAGGTGTAAATAAGAAATTAAGATGGTTTCATTATCACTAGAAACAGAAGTCATTTTTCTTTTTCTTTTTTTAATTTTATTTCTCTGTTCATAACCTAAAAGTCCAATTTTGTGCCATACAGGTTGAATTTCACTTGTTCCATTTTCTCCCCTTTCCAATGTATGGTATTTTACCCTCTTTAGGTGGACCCCAATGGGAAGTAGGAAAAAAAAGTGAATTTTTTGAACCCTTTTACCCTCGACTGTTTGACTGAATATATTCTTTTCTTTAATTTAATTTATTTTTAATTTATTGTAGAATTAAAGAAATTATATATGAAAAATTTAATTGTATCAATACTTTTACAAAATATGTTAAAAACAATGTTTAATTTGACACTATTATTAATGAGGTAATTTATGCAAATGGAACTTAAACATATCACTTTTTTTAAATAGAATCACTCATATCTATTCTAAAAGTTCTAAAATGTTTTGTCTTTAAGACAAATGACTAAATACATAATTCAAGTAGAATAAGACATTATTAAAAACGATTTGAATAGTCATTGAACCATAACTCAAAAGACGTGTAGACTATATTCAAGTAGACTATATTTTATCAAATATTAAAAGACGTGTCAAATTATAACTCGAAAGAAAGTCTTTCTCTGTATCACAAAACTCTTCTGCCCTAACGTCTTCACACCATCGAACACTTCTACCGCATCTAAAATGTCTAAAATATCCAAAAAAAAAAATATACTCCCTCCGTCCCGCTATATTCGTCCACTTTTGACTTTTGGAACTGTTCATCTAAGCACTTTGACTCATCAAATTCTCTTAATGTGTAAGCCTAAATATAGTCATGTGTGATCTTGTTTGATTTGTCTTAACATATAGATTATTAATATATAATTTTTATAATTTTTTAATATACAAATTACAAGATAAAATGGATTAAAGAAGTGCATTGGATCGTGTGCAAAAATGAAAGTGGACAAATACTCTGGGACGGAGGTAGTATATATATATAACTTCTACCCACAATAGCTAAGTAATGGTTAGGCTTTTTTGAACATTTAAGATGAGGTGCGTAAAAAAAATAGAATGAAAGATTTTTTTAGCAAAAAGGAGGGAGTATTATACGGAGGGAATAATTTTGTTTAAAATGGATATGACCGAAATGAAATGAATGAGGAAGTTTCTTCATAAGCCATTGTCGGCAATAATGGGAAGAAGAAGACACACATTGCCACGTTTCATTTCCTCTTTATTTCTATAAATTTTTCCCATTTCGTGTCTATACCTTTTTTTTATACGGAATAAAAAAAATATAGATATGAAATGGAAAAAATATATAGAAGTATGAAGAATTGAATTGATGTAAGAATCTTACACCAAATATTTGGCATAAGATCACCCTATCTCTAAATAAAGTAAGAGATACCAATTTTTGAAAAAAAAAATGTATTCCCTCCGTCGTAATTTAATCTAAATTACTTGTTTACATAGTCCAGATTTAATTATATTCTTTACCCATTTTTAAACCCATTTGAGGAAATAATATACTCCATCCGTTCTCAAAAACACTTCCTCTTTCATTTTTTCCACTTCCAAGAAAACACTTCCCTTTTCTATTAAAAAACCACTTTAACCCTTACTTTTTAATACCTTACCTATCACATCATACTTTTTCTCTAATAATCTATCCATCATATCTTACTTTTACCCATCACATCAGGGGCAAAATTAGAAATCAACTACTCCTTTAACACTTTTTTATTTTTGCCCCCAAATCAAATGGGAAGAGTTTTTCCAAACGGAGGGAGTAGTATTATTACTTCTTATTTTGTAAAACTTTTGTTGTAGTTTATAAATATATAAATTTTATGGAGTACTCGATTTTACAATAATTTTCAAAGAAATTGAATTAAAAATACTTCTTCCGTTTCAATAAATCATTCATCTTTTATTTTTTTCATTTCTCTAAAAAACTTCTACTTTCTATTAGAAAACCACTTTTACCCTTCCTTCTTCATTTTCTATATTACATCATATTTTTTTCACTAATAGCTTAACTATCATCTCTAACTTTTACTCTTCACAACAAGGGACAAAATTAAAAAATCAATCATAAATATACTCCTCCTCCAAAAAGTCAAAAAAAAGGGAATGATAATTTACTTACAGAGACTTGCGTTTGTCCATGAAAGAGACGGGGCGAGATGAGTAACCGCTGGCTATAAAGTCCAAAGTCTCGCCGATCAACGGCCAGCCGGAGCTCCCCCGGGGAACCATCCCCTCGTCCTCCTCCGTCCTCCTCCTCCTCCTTCTCCTCCTCTGCACCACCACCACCACCCAAACTCCGGCCACTGCCGCTCCGATCACGGCAGCCCAATCCCACGGCGTCGCTTCCTCCATTTTTCTGATATTTCTCTTCTATTTGTTTGTTTGTTTGTTTGTGTGTGTATATATACATATATATAGATGCCGTGGCTGGTTTTGGTTGGGAATTTATAGAATTTGTGAATTTACCAAAAATAATGGGGAAATACAGAGCCTATTTTGGGAGTAACAGTGTGGTAGCAAAATTCTTTCATGGGCCCTCACGGAGGTGGACCCCACCGTAGACAAACAAACCAGACAGGGAGCCCAAAACCCGCCCCAATGAGGAGTTTAAAGTTACAATTTTCAATGTATAAAATAAATCCACCGTTAAATTTTTATTTAAAATGCTAATGTTAATCGAAGATGTTGTTCTCAACCAAAACAATGTTGGAACATAACGAGTTCTTGATCTCACGTATAGCGAAATGTAGTTTGCCTCTTATCGGTCCGATTGATGAAGTACTTACGACAAGTCCCTTGCCCTAATCCCACATTAGATCATATCATGTGCTCTAAATCAAGCCCCCACAAATATATTTTTGTATATTTTTCAAAAAGCCTCATACAAATACTATGTTTTGTTCAATGAATTTGAAAGGCAAAAAAGAAAATAAACTGGAAAACAGTTTCTTGTTTGGCTAGAGAAAAAAAGAAAGGAACAGTGAAAAGAAACGAATATGAGAAGACAATATACTAACACTATATTTGGTTTAAAAAATTGAGAGGGAGAGGAAAAGAAAATGAGAAGAAAAACATTTTTCTTTTTTTGTTAGAAGAAAAGAAAAGAAAAATAGAAGGAAAAGAAAATGAGAAGGTCAAATGTACTAAGAGGATGGAAAACCAAATTCTTCCCATTTTGATAAGAAAACTGAGAGAAACATTTTCTTTTCTTTTCCTTCCAAATTTTTTGAACAAAACATAATGTAATAAGTGATTGGAAAACCAAATTCTCTCCATTGTGGTGAGAAAAAATGAGAGAAAATAATTTTCTTTTCTTTTCCTTTTAAATTTCTTGAACCAAACACAGTGTAATAGATATACTTGAATCATTAAATATTGGTTCGTTGTCTTTTCTTCTTCAGTATGAAAGTCAAGTTTGTACCTAACAAACTTCCCCTTGAATTAACGACCACACAACTCATGTCCTCTCTTCATCAAGCTTTTTAGGCCAACTTTTCAAACGGTCCAAAATTATTACTACAGTAAAAAAATGATGGAATATGTGGTAAATTTTCAAGGGTAAATGACGTGTACAACATTGCAAAATTTAACCCCAAATTATACTTTCTTCGTTCTAAAAAGATAAACAGTTTAATTTTTTTGATTAAATTGTCACACTTAGACTGTAAATTAAATATTATTTTAAAATTAAATGTTATAAAAATTTTGTAACTCTGTATATCAAAACTATATGTTATAATAAACCCAATTTCATTAAATTTACATAATAATAAATATACATTTTTCATATTTTGTACTCCCTCCGTCCGGATTTAAAGTTCACACTCCACGTTTTTTTTCGTCCGGAAATAAAGTTCCTCTTCTAAATTTTTATACCCACTCTTGCTAAAATACCCTCTTATTAATTTCAAAACTCACTCTTCCTCTTCTCCCTCTCTCTCTCTCTCTTTCCCCCACCCTCCCCCCTTTTCTTCTTCTCCTTTCTTCTCTTTTCCCGCTTCTGTCCTCCCTCACTTCAATCTTCTTCTTCTCTCTCCTAGTCCCCATCTTCTCCTTCTTTTCTTCTTCTCCGCTATTTTTTCTCGATTGGCACCTTCTCTCTAGCTTTTACTTCTTTTTCCAGCCAGATCTACACCATCTTTTTGAAATTTCTTGTTTTGTTTCTCCTCCGCCTAGATCTTGTTAAAGTTCTATGAACTTGTGATGGGTGGGTCAGCTCTGTGGTTGAACTTCACTTCCTCACATATCTGCTTCCTCGGAAAGCTCCTGCGGCGGGCGGAGCTGAAGGTGGTGGTGCGGCGGGCGGAGCTGACAGTGGTGGTGCGACGGGTAGAGCTAATGGTGGTGGTGTGGGTTGGGTCATTGGGCGATTGGGAGCTGGGGGTGGTTGTGTGGGCTTAGGGAATGGATAACAGGGAAGGATGAGGAGGGTATTGTGGACATTTCCATCCCAAAGTCAACATCCAATAAAAATGACCAAAACAGTCAAATTGTAACAAAATTTTTAAGCCGGAAGTAGTTTCGAGCCCCTTGGACCATCACAAGTAAAGCCATGTGGTAATATTAGTAGGCCAAAATGGCCAAAGCAATATCAGTGTAAAAACAAAGCACTAATTTTGCAAAAAATAAGATAAATACTCCATTCGTTTCAAAATAATCGTCTCAGTTCAAACAGCGAGTAAAATCACATCTTCTTTAAACTTATTATATTTACAAATTGGTATAGAAATAAAAATTACAAGTTAATATTTCAAAAATGACATCAAAAGTTACACAGAATGAAACAAGATGTGACAACATTTTTAAAACAAAAATAAACAAAAGTAATGATGATGCCAAAATGGTACTGGTACTAAGACGATTATTTTGGAACGGATAACGAATCGGGGGATTACGATTAAACATGGAATAAAGGTCACCCCTCAGGACCTACACTACAGCTTCAAGTAGAGACTTGCCTTTGTTTATTTGAAGCCAACTGGAACCAGGAGTTTTCTTGACATCCCTGCTGCCCATGATTTCCCTCAAACTCCCAACATTTTCCCAGTTGAGTAAACCAGCAAATGCATTTGACAACAACACATAGGTTGCAGGGTCGTTTTTGTCAATACGCAATGCTCTCTCTGCAGCTCGCCGAGCTGTCTCTGTGTCCCCGTGAAGCACGCACGCCCCCAGCAAGGTTTGCCAGACCAACAAACCGGGCTGGAATGGCATGCCCAGAATCAATTCCTGGGCTTCCTTTATATGTCCAGCGCGACCGAGTAGATTCACCATACATGCATAATGATCTTCTAAAGGGACAATCCCATATTCATGGGTCATTGAGGAGAACAAACTCCACCCTTCGTCGACAAGGCCTCCTTGGCTACAAGCATAAAGTGCGCAAATCAAGGTTATGTCATTGGGTTTCACCTCTTCTCTCCTCATTTCGTGGAAGATCTTGAGGGCTTCTTTTGGGCATCCGTTTTGTGCGTACCCGGCTATCATTGATGTCCACGAAACGATAGAGCGCCCGTTCATTGATTTGAAAACCATCGAAGCACCACTCATGCACCCACACTTTGCGTACATGTCAAGCAATGCATTGTCCACACAAACATCGATATCGTCCCCCAGTTTGATCCTCAAGCCATGGAACTTCTCGCCGTCTTTCAAAGATGCCAGATTGGCACATGCATTGAGTGCAGTTGCAAAAGTGAATTTATTAGGCTTCACACCAGCCGCTCTCATCCTTCCAATGACTTGAAGAGCACTGCTTGGGTCCTCATGATACAGAAGCCCAGCAATTTGAGTCCAGGAGCGAACGTCTTTTGATGGGATCTCCTCAAATGCCTTCAACCCTTCACTAAGCCTTTGAGATTTTAAATACATATCCACCAAAGAGTTCCCCACACACACTTCGTTCCCATGTCCGCACTTGACGAGCCAAGCATGAACTTGCACACCCATTTTAAGGCACGGAAGTTCAGCCAATCCCGTAAGTACACTTGAAAAAGTGAATTTATCAGGTTCCACGCCATTTCTTAGCATTTTTAACCAAAAAATTGGCAACTCAGAGGGGCAAAATTGCACATACCCATCAAGCATAGCATTCCAGGTCACAATATCCTTATATGAACAATTCTCAAACACCTCTTTCGCTTCTTTTAATCTATGATGCCTTAATAAACCCGTCAAGAAAGCATTCACCAAATAAACGTTAGACTCAAAACCAAGCCTAACAATCAACCCATACACTTGAAGCAGATGTATCAAGCTCAGACAATCCGAAAAGGAGCATGCATGAAGAGCGCTCACAAAGGTGAACTTGTTCGGTGTTATTCCACTGTTGTGCATCCTGAAAAATGTAGAGAACCCTTCAATAGGAAAACCCTTCTGCACAAAACCGGCAATGAGGGCTGTCCAAGACACAATATTTTTCTGCGGCATTTCATCAAAAAGTTTGTGTCCACCCCATATTTCCCCACATTTCACATATGCATTGATGACATGGTTGTGGATATACACTGATGAAGCTATCCAGGGATTTTTTAGGAGCTTTGCGTGGATTGCTTTGACATAGCCTAAGTTTGAAGCCTCCACACATTTACGGAGTGCATGAGCAAATGTTGTTTCTTCTTCATCCTTGTTAAAATCCCATGTGACAAAGCTAGATTTGGCTGCTTGTTTTGATGGTGCTGATGATGTAACAAAAGCATGTCGAACATTTGATGGATAAGGAGCACAAGTTTCATAAAAATGGGGACGCAAGAAAACAGTGTGTTTTCCAAGTTGAGAATGAAGCATTTGCACACATATTTTCAAGCAACCAATGGTACTCGTATTATGTAAACAGGTTACTGTAAATTTCCTGGTTTGATCATATGAAAACTCTCGCATGAGACAAAGATTGAAAACACAAGTTCCTTTTCCACACACACACACACACACAGCTTTATGTACGTCTTACTCATATCACTAACACTATGTTTGGTTCAAGGAATTTGGAAGGAAAATAATAGAAAATGATTTTCTCTCATCTTCCTTACCAAAATGGGAGGAATTTGATTTTCTTCTCTTAGTACATTTTGCTTTCTCATTTTCTCTTCCTTCCACTTTTCCTTTCTAACCAAACAAAAAAAAATTGGTTTCCACTCCACTTTCTCTTTCTTTTCCCTTTCAAATTCCTTGAACCAAACATAGTGTAAGTATAACTTTACAACTCACGCATGAAGCATATGCATCAAGTATCAAATTAACATGCCTGAATCGAAACATATATTTAACATGATTATCGAACTTACGACATGTCATATTAGCAAAATTGTTATCAATGGATTATTTCATATTCTCGACTGTTATAAATATATCTAAATATATTTTTTCTGATCATGAACTGATCAACACTCATCTTCATTTCAACGAATCGGAGAGAGGAATGATTGTACGAAGGTTAACGAAATCAGTGTGGTTTGGAAAGATAGTACTCCATAGTTTGCTGCTCAACCAATGACCGTGAAACGTACCTGGGAACGGTGTAGCATGGCTGTGCTGCTTCACCAATACCCTCCGTCCACCGAAGACCGGACCGGACCAAAATTTTATGTGGACCGATTCGGTCCATAAAACGCTTGGACAACAAAAAACAATGTATAAATCACTTTGCAACACCTCAATTCTTTAAAAGGTTGCAGACATTTCACACATTCTAATGTATTGCAACTTCAAAATTGAGTAAAAAAGATAGGGAATAAATGTTTGCTCCACTGTCAATAATGCACACTTGAACATAAATGAAATGGAATAAATGGCAGCCACTCTTGAAACTTGAAAGTGCTGAGAATTTGAAACAGCCACCATAAACTCAGTAGCCACTAGCCAGCACTAAACGCCACCATTCAACTGCAAACATTGAGTCATCCATTGGAAATAAAATTTGAAGAACAATATAAGAATCTACTTTATTATTTTAAGCTACTAGCCTATAATGGATATGTTACAAAATGAAGAAAAACAATAGTACTAATAACATTGGAATGAAAATGCAAGTTTAAAAAATTACTTGTAATCGAGTTCTTTATTCAGTGACAAAGATCAAATCATCATCTATTTTTGCATTCTTTACAACCAGAAATGGGAGAGTTACATATTAGACTCATTCCACCATTTAAGATCTCACTGGTCACAAAATCACAGTTTCGGATGTGTAAGACTTGAGCTCCTCGATATTTTATCTCAAATTCTAAAAAATTGCACGCATGCTCCTCGATATTTAATGACTATTTCTGTATTTCATGATCATTTCTTTATAGAGGATATGTTGAAATCAACATTTGAGTAAAAAAAAGTGAATATAGATTGATTTTCAAATAGTGACACATGAACTTAATATCTTAAAGTTGTGGACTGTATATAAAAAAACTGTTGAAGCATCGTTTATGAAAATTTCTCAGCTAAAATTGCAAGTCTTACATATACCTTAGAGTTTACCACAATAAAAAAATCAGCAATGATGTAATTGTCCATGTGCCAAAATGAAGTAGGAAAACAACCTTGAAATGTAATTGTCCAGATTCAAAGCAACACATCGATAAATGGTAAAGTGCAAAAGCAATTTAAAATTACCAGACTATAGCAATATATACAAGTTGGAGCAATATAAACAAAAACAACCAGACCATAGCAGTGGAGAAATATAAACAAATAAAACCAGATTCTAGGATCCTTCAAAAAGAAGAAGAAACCTTTAAAAAAATTTGGTGATTTATTGATAAGTAAATTGGAAATTACCTGCGCGATGTGCCACTGTTTGAATCCGAAGAGTGAGAGAGAGACGGTAGATGGCAGCGAAGGCGACGGCGATTCATGTGGAGATGGCAGAGAGGGCGACGGTGATAAATGAGACGGAGATGTGAGGGAGACGGGTTGAGTGATTGGGTATAAACGATTACGGAGTAATACGTTTATAGGTCTATGGGTACAGACCCTTTGGTATTAGGGTATAGACCGAACCGGATCGAGAAGACAGGTTCAATATTATATCTGTCCGGGTTTGTCTGGACTTAACTGTGCGATTCGATCTATATTTCTGGTCTAGACTTAAACAGGAACACCCCTACATACGGCTACGTGACTCTGTAATTTTTCCTGCCAAATTAATTTTTTATTGAATTGTCACTCCTTTTGTTTTTTTTTTGATTTTTTACTAAAGTTATTATTTAAATTAAGATAAGTCAATATTAGTCTAGAATTAAAAAATAAAAGTTATGTAGTATTTATTTAAAAACAAATGTTGCTAAATGCACTTTCTTTTTTTATTAAATTCAATCCATTTATGAATCTTATTTAATTTTTTTAAACACTAATAAATTTATTACAAAGTAATGTCTGTTAATACTCCCTCCATTCCAGAGTATTTGTCCACTTTCATTTTTACACACCATCCAATGCACTTCTTTAATCCATTTTATCTTATAGTTTGTATATTAAAAAATTATATAAATTATATATTAATAATCTATATGTTAAGACAAATCAAATAAGATCACACATGACTATATTTAAGCTTACACATTGAAAGAATTTGATGAGTCAAAGTGCTTAGATGAACAGTTCCAAAAGTTAAAAATAGACAAAAACTGAGTAACGGAGGGAGTACATTTTGAATATAAATTCAATCTTTTCCAGTCTATGAAAGATTAGTGGAGAGCATATTTAATTTTGATGTTAAAAATGGAGGTGACAGTTTAGTAATTTCAAGTAATTCTGCTCATGTGTCCTTCTATTCCAGTATTCCCCCTCCCTCCCGCAAATTCTCATCACATTCCTTCAACCATGGGTTTCGGAGCAATAAGATCCGTCGCCCGACCCGTTTCCAGAGCTCTCCTCTCTCACCGGAACGCCTGGGCTTTTTCCTCCATAGCGTCGCCCGCCACCTTATCCTCCCTATCGCCTGAGCTCCGGTGGATTGCCGGCCCTAAGCTTCCGTGGATTCCGCCGTCCTCCGCCTTCCACAGCCTAACGGACAATCGGTACCCGAAGCGAAGGCCCATCGACAAGCCTAAGCGCAAACGACCAGTCCCGGAACCTCCTGGTACCTTCTCATTTCAGCCTTTCTTCCCTTTTCTACCGCTGTAATTAGGGTTTTAGGGGTTTACTTCTACCTTTATTTCCGGGATTCTAGCATTTGGAATTGGAAAATTCGCGTCTTTTAACCTATAACAAGCATAATTGAAGTGAATGTAAAGGGCTTACTGGAATTGCTGAGCCTTTAGTGATGGTGGCATTTTATTGAGGAAACTACTTCTTTAAGGTTGAATTTGGTGATATTAAGACTTTTTTAGTACATGACATTTACTAGGATTTCTTGGAGGCATTTTATTAGGGCTGTAGAGTATTTGAAGAGTTTGAAAGTGAGTTGAGGTAGACAAGAACAACAAACCTAGTAAAATCCCACAAAAGTGGGGTCTGCAGCGGATATGTGTGTGCCTTGAGGCGGTGGAAAGGTTTTGAAAGGCGAAAACTAGCCTCGAGGCGGTGGAGCAAAATGCCTTGAGGCGTAGGCCTCAGTTCAATATGAAAAAAATAATACTAAAATATTTACACCGAGGTAAAACGAAATGCATAATCCATCACACTACCTGGAAACATCAAGTTATTAATATTGCGTGTCATATCATAAGTTCATCCAATTCTATTGGTAGGCAGGGGTTGAACAATTTGAATCAGAGCTAATGCCAGAAACTGTTGCTCACACCAAAGATCATCAAGTTGGATCATTGGTCTTTGCTTGATTTGGTCTTTGTCTCTTTGAAAGGCACAACGGGTCGGGATTGAGAACAGGCCATTGGTCATAACCTATGAAAGAAAAATGAATAAAATTTTATATAGAGGTACGTTTTAGAAACTTCACACATAAGCCTAAGATCTCATGTTTAATAGCCTTGCTTGAGTTGAATGGGAAATATTTGCTTTATCTGGTTTAGTCTGTAACACTTCATGAGAAAATGAAGTTCCCCATAATTTTAGAGTTTAATCTTGTGATGTAGGCCCCTATTCTGGTGTTCCTAGGCGATTGCCTCATGATCCAAAACCCCAAAAGAACCCCAATGAAGGAAGTGTTAAGAGAAGGAACGAGAAGAAGAGAATCAAGCAACGCAAGGCTTTTATTTTGGTATGTGCTTAAAAGTTGCCAAAAAAATTTCTACTTCCTCTCATGATCTTATTCTCCTGGTATGATGCAATATCTCGACTGCTTGCTTATTGCCTTATGTTTCGAACTATTGTCAGTTTTACCTTGGAAAGAAATCAAATTTGATTTAAACTCTTTAAAAAACTATTTCTTTAAAATTATAAATAAGGTGAGGTTGATGTTTTTTTACAAAAAATCTAAAATTTATTAGATGAGTTTGAAGCAGTTTTGTATTTTCACTTACATTTTCTCTCCCTCCAAATTCCCCTTAAATTTTTCTCTCTGATTGGTTTCCCTAGCATTTTTCATGTTCCAAACAGACCATTAGTAGTGGGCTAAAAGAATAACCCACAACATATTTATGGATCTAGGAATTATGGAGTATATGTATGGACGGTATGGTTAATTCAGCTTTTTGGGATGGTGTTTGAAGTTTGAACACTGTTTTTCAGCTTCTGCCTCTTCAAAGTGCAGTTTAGCTTGTTTGGTAATCTGCATCTCTTTATAGCTTATGGCTTCAGAGATCAGAATGTAAAATGGGCTTCAAAATTGCTCTTCAGCAAAGCTACGAGTTGTTGCATTCCGCTTTTGACATATAACTTTTGTTTTTTCAAGAATCTACTACAACTCCAAACATCCTCTTAGTATTGGTAGTGGAACAATTTCTTAAAGAAGTTCAAATGGTTTGAGCTTGATGACAGACACATCTATTTTATTGGGATTAATAGCTGGCTGGCTGCATAAGATTTGGTGATCCTTATTGATTTCTTATTTAAATGCAAACTTGCAATGGGGAAAAATGGAAAATGTGGTGCTCTCATTTAGTGACCTGCATCAATAAACAGATTTTAGCTGGTTTAGACTTTATGAACTTAGTCTAATGAATATATTAGATCAGCAAGAAAAAATGTTTGAAATTTTTAAGGATATAAAATTTGGGTAAAATAAAATTAAATGCTCCAAACTCAATATATCATACTGGGTTGCTGTTGCTCCAAACTCAATGTATCAGTTCTAGATCATTGTACAAGTTGGTCTGAGGGGTAGGTTAGTGGGTTATTTTTTTTTTTTTTTNCCTCTAAAAGGTTGATTATGTCTCAAAAGACCCCCCAACCCAAGAAACATTGAAAAAACTATATTTTTCCTTTCCCCGTCTTCTTCTGCAATCTTAACATAGCCTAACTAAATCTCTTTTGTCCCAAGACCATATCTTAAACATAAATCATTCTGCTGGAGAGGTTTTTTATTTCCTCTGCATAAAGTTTGGTTCAAACCGTGTGCAGTCTGAAAAGAAGAAGCGCACGGCGTTAGTGCAAGAAGCAAAAAGGAAGAAACTGATGAAAAGAGTGGAGCGAAAGATGGCTGCGGTTGCAAGGGAAAGGGCGTGGGTTGAAAGACTAGCAGAATTGAAGAAGCTTGAGGAAGAGAAGAAGAACAAGAAGGAGGCTGCCATGGCTTAGCCTTCCTCCTCTTTGCAAAATGCAAAAAGGTCTATAACAACAAGGTTGCTTGCTTGCTTTATGGAGATTGTTGCCCCTTTCCTCAATATTCGTTTTTTAGTAGATTATTTTGTTCGAAATGGAAATTTCAAAGGAATTGAAGTTCTCTGTTCGAGTGATTTCAATTTCAATGCATCTCCCTTGGAACATCTTGGAAACAACCTATTTACTCTTCATAGTAGGGGTAAGGTTTTTGTAATTTTACCAGTTTTTTGTTTTTTTTTTTGGTTTTGTTGTGAGAAAGGGACTAAGGAAAATTTACTGTTTATCAATGTTATGCCTATAAAGTTACCAAGCTAAGTGTCTGTATTTGTCTGACATATAAATGAAGTATTCTATTTTGGTGTGCCCCTAGGTTTATTTTTCTTCTTAATGTAGTACGGAATATTATCCAGTGACAAATTGTTTGTGTTTTTTAATAAAAAATACTTCCGTCAAATGTTTTATATTTTTTTTATAATTATAAAATATGTCATTTGTATGTATATTTTTCTATAATTTGTAAATAAAATAATTTAAAAGAAATGAAATTTTACACTTTGACAATTAAAATGTACTTGAATATAATTTTTCTAAAGAATATTCATAACATATCATAAATAAATGTGAGTAAAAGTGTACAAGGAAAACGAAAATTAGACATAGTGCTTCATAACATTAAGGTTAATTTTAATATGATATGGGCTCTTAGGTTAAGAACTTTTTGAAATTGATTTTCATATATTTTTTATAAAAATAATGAAAAAAAGTGGGAGTTAATTTCAAAACCGATGCACAAAAAAATGAGGTGGGGAGGGCATCAACGAAAAATATATAGAATTAATATACATACAAATAACAAATGAATAAAGGCAAAAAGAACATTTGTTAGAAATATACTACCCCGTAATAATATTTATTTAGATAAAAAAGAAATAAACCATATTTTTCGTTTTTACAATCAAATGAAACACACATGGAGACATGGATGGGACCCACCAATTGTACATTCTTATGTAAGCCACACACAAGTGTATCACTAAACAAATACATATTACAGAATGAAAATATGTTTTTCTAATCCTACAAAAAAAGGAACCAAATTTCTTCAAAATCCCATGTCTGAATCTGAATCAGGATTCACAGATGACCTCACTGACCTGTGTTCTTGATCATAGTCTCTGTCATCGTCGTCTTGTTTGGTCTCCTTGATCATTCCTACAAATATGTTGGTTTAGGCACAGCCAAAAAGTTGAGATTTTTGTTTCTT